CCTGAATGATCAGCTCAAGTACTTGGAGCAGAATGTCGGCAAGCTTAATTCGCAGGTTGACCGACTTAAGCACGAGCTTGCAGAAGGCGAGTTGCGTGAGGAAAAGCTCGAGAAGCAGATCCGGACGCTAGAGTTTGACAATGAGAGCAAGACGACGCAGATGAAGCGATACAATGACGAGAACTTCAACTACCAGAACATGGTGAACCAGTACACGAGCAAAGTGGAGTTTCTTCATCAGGAAAACAGCGAAAAGGATCTCAAGATCAAAACGCAGGCCCGGGAACTTGCAGACTTACGCGAGAGGCTTCTAATGTTTGAAAAGGACCGCCTAATGAGAGAGTAAGCGGCGTGCGATCTTGGGCTAACATTAGCGTATTAGCGTCAAGGCGAGACTTGTATGTGGGTGCAAAAAAATAAGATTGAGGCACACGGGGTGAGGGCAACGTGGGCCCCAGCCGGCAAGAGGTTGCCGATACATTCACATCAAACAAGGTTCATATGGAATTTACAAATAGATGGTTTCAATAAAGCATTCTCAGACGCTTGATGATTTTTTTTTTTTAAACTGCGCCGGTGGACCGAAGACAGCAAAAAAGCTTCCTAAGCCAGTCGTGGTTGCATCAATAAACGTGGTGCTGAGCCGCACGCAGGTATATGCAAAGATAACAAGCGCCTCACCACGTGGGAGAAATTAGCGAGAGAGACCGCGCCAAGGCTACAACTGGTAAGAGCTCACACTACCCAAGACTTTGGCAGAAGAATCACTAAAAAAAATGCCAAGAGAGAAGAGGGGGGCTTGAAGAATGATCCTAAAGGACAAGAAAAAAATCACAACCACTTTGACAGCTTTGTACAGCAGTTGACAGCTTGACGTGTAACGGCGGATCATGGCTGCAACAGTTGGCCTCCTCATGGTAGCCAATCTTCCCCATACGAAAGGCACACGGCGATTCGCACAAGCACGCTAGGCCGATTGGGTTTAAGCTTATGAAAAAAAAAGGAATCAGGCGGCTTCGGAAGTCTGCGAATAGCTAGCCACTCACCCAAAAAGTGGACCGACTTAAAAAACCAAACAACTCATTCAAGGCCACATTAAAATCACCCACCTGGCATGCAAAATTATTTCTCTCTCCGCATGGCTCGTTTCTTCTTTGTCGCCTCGAAGGGCCATGTGCCATATGTACGATATGCGGGCAGGCTGCACCGGCTGCACCGATGCTGCAGAACATAGGTAATTAATGCGCAGCCAACTTTACGGCCCCAGAGCCGTTTGGTATAAAGGCTGTCGAGAATCTCGTTTGACTAAAATTTTGTTTACAGTCTCTATCACATCAATGTCTGAAAAATACACTGCCGAAGTCAACCAGAGCGGCGGTAAGACCGCCTTCAAGGACTACTTGGAGAAGTTTGCCCACATTGAGGACCCATTGGAGAGAAGAAGATTGGCCCTTGAGGAAATCGACAACTCGGGTTTCGGCTGGACTCAGGTGAAGATGATTATGATTGCCGGTGTCGGTTTCATGACCGACTCTTACGACATTTTCGCCATCAACTTGGGTATCACCATGTTGACCAATGTCTACTGGGGCGGTAAAATGCCCGACTCCACCACCACCCTTTTGAAGGTGTCCACTTCCGTTGGTACCGTTATCGGTCAGCTTGGTTTTGGTATGATGGCCGATTTTGTCGGTAGAAAGAAGATTTACGGTTTGGAGTTGATTGTCATGATTTGTGCTACCATCATCCAGTGTGTCATTGGCTCTTCCCCGGCCATCAGTTTCCCAGCCATTTTTGCCTTTTTGAGAATTATCATGGGTATCGGTATCGGTGGTGACTACCCCTTGTCGTCTATCATTTCTTCCGAGTTTTCCACCACCAAGTGGAGAGGTGCCATTATGGCTGCTGTGTTCTCCAACCAGGGTTTGGGTCAGATTCTCGCCGGTATCGTTGCTCTTGTTCTTGTGGCTGGCTACAAGTCCAACTTGGAGCCTTACGAGACCCACGAGTGTGTCGGTGAGTGTATCAAGGCCTGTGACCAGATGTGGAGAGTCTTGATTGGTTTCGGCTGTGTTCCTGGTTGTATCGCTTTGTACTACAGATTGACCATTGCCGAGTCTCCTCGTTATTCTCTTGACGTTGAGGACATTGCTCACTTGGACAAGCAGGCTGACATTGAGGCTGTTCTTGACGCTGCTGCTCAGGACATCACCCCACCAAAGGCCTCTTTCAAGGACTTCTGGAGACACTTTGGCCAGTGGAAATACGGTAAGTACTTGATTGGTACCGCTGGTTCCTGGTTCATGTTGGACATTGCCTACTACGGTTTGGGTCTTAACACTGCTGTCATTTTGGAGGCTATTGGTTACGCTGCTGACAAGAACATCTACAGAGGCTACTGGAACACTGCCGTTGGTAACTTGATTTTGGTCTGTGCTGGTTCGCTTCCAGGTTACTGGGTGGCTGCTGCTACCGTTGACACTGTGGGCAGAAAGCCTATCCAGCTCATGGGTTTCATTCTTTTGACCGTTTTCTTCTGTATCCTTGGTTTTGCCAACGACAAGATTGGCCAGAACGGTAAGTTGGCTCTCTACGTTTTGTGTCAGTTCTTTGAGAACTTTGGTCCTAACACCACCACTTTCATTGTTCCAGGTGAGTGTTTCCCAACCAGATACAGATCTAGTGCCCACGGTATTTCTGCTGCTGCCGGTAAGGTCGGTGCCATTGTGGCCCAGACCTGTCTTGGTACCTTGGTGAACCACGGCTGTGCTCCAGACGACAAGAACTGTTTCCTTCCTCACGTCATTGAGATTTTCGCTCTTTTCATGTTGCTTGGTTGTTTCACCACCCTCTTGATCCCAGAGACCAAGAGAATGACTTTGGAGGAGATCTGTGAGAAGTACCACGACGAGGTTGACACCACCAAGTTGGGTGCCGACAGATACGTGACCCAGCAGGGCGAATCTTCCGACTCTGACTTGAAGCATTAAGCGCCAAAACAGTTTTGGGTTCCCTTCAGTTCTACACCATAACTTTCATATAACATGTTTAATAGAAAATAATGCGTCGCAAAATGACATGTAGCATTTGCTAAAGCTCCCAGAGCGCAAAGCACTTTTACTTATTTGGTACGGCGGCTTTTAAGAATGACGGGGGTTAGTCTCATGAAGGAATTGTCACTTTGTGCAATGTAGGCCCAGGTGGTCCATGGCCCGGTATGTTGACAATGGATCAGGATTTTGATTAATTTTTGAACAGCTGATGTCGACAAGGTATTAGGTTTATGGGGAATTGCTTGCGTTGGTTGCTGCATTTAGGCAGTTGTACCGTCTAAGTAGATCTTCGGCTAGATGATGAGGTAGAGATTGCTTAAAAGGTGGGCTGCTTCGGCTACGAGGGATGGTTTAGGAAGGTCTAAGAAGGTCTAGGATTGTTCTGTCATTCCAGGTTTTCGGCTAGCAATGGAAGGTTAAATGATCCGAGAGATGATTTGTCGAAGGTAATCTGGTTTCTGGTGATACCAAAAACAGTATGAGTACTTATTTGACAGATATGCCAATCACCACGACGCTTCTCTGGATCTTCTGACAGATAATCGAACTCTTGGCAAATCTAGCGAAAACACATGCATATTTTGTTTTTATCCCAAATCGCCGTTCATTACGTCTTCTTCAATCTATGAGCGCCGCATTGCACGGCTACTAGCGAAGAAAATCTTGGACGACTCTAATAATTGAAATATAGGCCAGGGCTGTCAACTCTGCAGCACCTGAAATTCCGAACACTCCGTGGATTTACTATCACAGTTCACGATTTTGTCAACCCTTCTCACTATGTCTACGGTTCCAGCAGATTCATCTACTCTGCTAAATCCCAAAACTCACACAATTTTCTTTGAACTTTTACAACCTCCCCACTCTTCACCATCGAAGTTTCTAACCAAAAACTTCTACACGCTCAGATTTTGCTCCCCCACCTTAGCTTGGCATCTGTTGGGACCCTGGGCGCCGAGAGAATGGTTGCAAAACATGGCTTAGCACGTGGCCCTTTACCCAAACCAACCCCGGCGGGCCAAAAACCATTTAAATTCGGCAAACCCGTCAACCCACTGTTTCCCCCAAAAATCAGGCAAAAACTTCCCGCCTCCTCGTCTCCCTTATCGTGAGTCACCAGGGTTCGCTTACCCAATACAGGCTATACTACACGGTTTATATATGCAGCCGATGCGAACTCCACAAGAAGATACCACATCGAAAATGGGCAGATTCCACCCTGACTGGCTCACTGTGGGCGTGCTTTTGGCGGTTTTCTTTCTTTGGTTGGAACCGGCCGAACCTTTCTACAGACAGTTTCTTCTTTCTGATCTGAGGCTCCAACACCCGTTTGCTGAACAGGAGAGAGTCACCGATAACCAGCTCTACTTTCTTTCGGCAGCCGTGCCCACCTTGGTCATTGGACTTGCCCAATTGCTTTCGAAGAATGACAGCCAGACTCCCAAGTACCACCTTTTGGGTCTCTGGGTTTCCCTAACGGTGAACGCGTGTGTTACCGATTTGCTCAAGAACTGGATCGGCAACCCCAGACCCGACTTTCTTGATCGCTGTTCGCCTGTGGCAGGCACCGTGACAGACGCGTTTGTTATGGTCAATGTTTGCACTTCCCCAAGAGGCCCCTCGTCCATTGTGGACGGAATGAAGCTGACTCCGCTGGGTCACTCGTCGATCGCCTTTTCCGGCCTCTTGTACTTGCTGATATGGGCCTGGCTGTGGGCCCGGGCTCAGAAGAAGGAGATCAGGTACGCTTCGTTTTTGGTCATTGCCGCCCCCACGATATTGGCCACCTACATCGCCTTGAGCAGGGTCCAGGACTATAGACACCACTTCTTCGACGTGTTCCTTGGGCTGTCCTTGGGAATCGTCGCCGCTGTGCTTTCCTGGATCAAGTACCAGTAGAGATGCTCCTGCTTTTATTTATTGATGCTAGCGCAATATATGGTCTAGTTACTGTTCTGCTCCCACACAGTGTCTGATCCGGACCCTCTTGGAGGTGATGGCTGGGTTGTTAGTGTCTACTTGGTCGATGTTTCTCTTTTTGGGTGACTGGTAGCTTTCCTGAGACGTCAAGACGAAAGGGTTTGGATTGGAAGTGTGCTGGTAAGAAGAGCGTGGAGCCTGGGCCACATAGTCGGTAGGGCTCAAATTAGAGGGCTCATATTGCTTTAAATCTGAACTTCCATTGACGTTTTCTTGATGGTTTGCTTCGTCGGCCTTCACTGCGTTTGGCTTTCTTCCCCTTTTCTTCAAACTGTCACCAGGCTTTCTCATAATGAGGCGAGGATCAATACACTTGATATCTTCTTCCGTGACTTCAACGGCCTGAGGCGTCGTCAATGCTGGTTCTTGATTGGCGGTTCCATAAACAAAGTCGAGGTACTGGAGGTATTTTTCACGGGCTTCCCGATCCTTTGGGATAAGCATGCCAGGTTCACACATCTCTCTCATGACCTTATGTGGAACGTAAATGAAGCTGTGGAATGGCTCGTCGGTAGCGTCTGGTGGATATTTGGTTTCGCTTGGAATAGACATGAACATGGGTGGGTTGGTGTTGTCGTAATATAGGCTGATGTGTCTCATTAAAACTACCATTAAGAATGCAATAGAGAGAGTTAAATGGTCTGTAAAAGAGGGAAATACAAAGGGGAAATAATAAGATGTGGCGGTGTTACTGTTGTGAAGTGTTTGTGAAATGATTGAGGTGTTCCACTTTCCCAATGCACCGATGGTCATCAATCGGGGAAGGTTCTAAAATGGATAGCGGAGGAAAGCACAAATTGCCGAATGAACGAGATTTGTCTAGGCTACTCACAGTGGGATACTCACCAGAGATCAAGAGAGCGGTTCATACATATGTGAATCAGTGTCAGTCTGACAGAGTCCATAAGAGTAAGGCTGTTATGCAAAATTACAAGCTCAAGATGAACAGCTTAATTAGCCCTTGAGTGTTTCACTCATTTGCTCTGTTTTGATTTATGTTGATTCAGAACGTTGTATAATTTGGATTCTCAAGCAGCAGATCAACCTGATGAAAGCAGACTGGAAACAAACCATACGAGCGGATCGAAAGTTCTATAAATTACAAATTGCTACTTCTTCACAATTGTCTTCCCCAATGCATGAAGATTGATCCTCTGTGAATCTACGTCACCGATTCATATGATGATGCCTTCCACAACTACTCAATCATCACCAGTAGTATGCACCAACTCTTCAAATACCTGTCAACCAAACCACTAAATCATTCGCTTACCTCCCCTACATCAACGCAATGATAACATTCTTTGTACATACGGGCAAACTGTGTCGTTTGTATTCCTCTATTAACTTAATTGTCCGTTGAGGACCCCATTAATGCAAAAACTCTATCCCAAAATAAAATAAAAAAATGTAAGCTGTGAAGTGCACCAAATGATGGATCTGGTTGAAATAAATGTGAGGCAGCCCTCGGTGTTGAGCGAAGGGCCATGGTCATAAGCGAGTCGTCGCATTAACTTTTAAGTCTGTGGCTATCGTGCCAGCCACACGGGCTCGGTCATGTTGTTTAGTACTTCAACTCCTTTGGCTGCTCCCATGGGTTGGCCTGGTCGGTGAAGTGACCGTAAGAAGCAGTGTTGAAGTAGATTGGTCTAGCCAAGTCGAGTTCTCTGACAATCACACCTGGTCTCAAGTCAAAGTTCTTGCCAATGATCTCCACCAACTGCTCTGAGGTGTACTTGGAAGTACCGTAGGTGTCCACGTGGATGGACAATGGCTCAGCAACACCAATGGCGTAGGAGAACTGGACAAGAGCTCTTCTGGCCAAACCAGCGTTGACAAGAGACTTGGCGACCCAACGGGCAGCGTAGGCAGCAGAACGGTCAACCTTGGAGAAATCCTTACCGGAGAAAGCACCACCACCGTGAGCACCCCAACCACCGTAGGTGTCGACAATGATCTTACGACCGGTCAAACCGGCGTCACCCTGAGGACCACCAATGACGAATCTGCCGGATGGCTGGATGTGGTAGACGGTCTTGTCGTCCAACAAGTTGGCAGGAATGGTTCTCTTGACGATCTTCTCCAAGATCTCGGTTCTCAAGTCCTCGGTGGTGATCTCGTCAGCGTGCTGGGTGGAGATAACCACAGTGTCGACTCTGACGGGCTTGACAGCACCACCGTCCTTCTCGTACTCAACGGTGACCTGGGTCTTGGTGTCGGGTCTCAACCAGGCGAGCTCACCAGATCTTCTGGCGTCAGCAAGAGCCTTGTTCAACTTGTGCGACAAGAGAACGGTCAAAGGCAACTTCTCTGGGGTCTCGTCGGTGGCGTAACCGAACATGATACCCTGGTCACCGGCACCCAACTCCTCAAGGGCTTTTTCGTAGTGCAAACCCTGGGCAATGTCGGGAGACTGCTGCTCAATAGCAACAAGCACGTTACAGGTCTTGTAGTCGAAACCCTTTTCGGAGTTGTCGTAACCAATGTGCTTGATGGTGTCTCTGATGATCTTCTGGTAGTCCAACTGGGCCTTGGTGGTGATCTCACCGAAAACCATAATCAAACCGGTCTTAGCGGCGGTTTCACAGGCAACCTTGGAAAGAGGGTCCACGGCAAGACAGGCGTCCAAAATGGCGTCACTGACCTGGTCACAGATCTTGTCTGGGTGGCCTTCGCCGACGGATTCGGAGGTAAAAAGGAACTTCTCTGGCATTGCTATGTTGGTGGTGGGATAGTCTTCTTTTTTTTTTTTTGAGGGGGTCTGTCTCACTATTTATATGCGGGAGCCACAGTCGATGGCTTCTGCAACGTTGAAAAAATTCACGTCCTCGTTATTGACGCACCTCCTGCAGATAGACTGAAAAGTCTACCGCTCTCATCCTAATAACTCGTGGTCGCAAAAACACGTGACCTAGATGGTGTTCTTATCTCTGGGGTTTTGCAGCCATGCCGCGTGGCCTGGGGAAGATGTACCTCATAGGGGAACTCGTTAGGTCATGAAGATTCAGTACAAGGATTTTGAAGGCGCCAGGACGCTCCAATGGACGGTTGTTGGGTGGTGCACGGATGTCCACTGGTGCACGGGTGCTGTCACTATACGACTTGGCGAAAGTCCGATTTCCCTCGGCATGCCCAGGCGATCCAGACATTGACCAGGGGGGTTGGTCAATCAAAGATCATCATCCATTTCTTTCAAATTTCGAAATAAGATGACCCAAAATACCACGTTTATGGGGTATCTTCTAAACGAGAATCTTGATGGCCTGCATACAGGCTGTTGACTCGTACTGATTCGGCCCAACCTAGCACGTTGGATCTCGGCCTCGTTCGGGAAAAGCCCATGTGCTGCGAGCCGGCGGCTAATGCCACTCGAACAAGTGGATATTCTGTTTAGTGATTTCTGAAAATGTGGCTGCTTTCAGATCAATTGAAAAGCTTCAATCTCATTGGTCAAAATCACAAGATTCGAATTGTCCATGGACGGCTGATTGGATCGCGATGAGCCGACTCAAATTACGCTGTATGTTATGAGCCGCCTCACCAACCATTGTGAATATCACAGTACATGTTTCGCTGTGGCCCCATTGGCAGACGGGTGATTGACGCTGAGCGTTTTTAATCTTTTTTTTCTCTTTTCTGTATTTCACAAGACCTCTTTTCAGGAATTTGACCTGCCAAGGCTGAAACCTTAGTGATCAAAAACAGCCTCCATTCTCTGAAATGTGAAGGGTGTTTGTTGAGTTCTTCAGAGCTTCCGTTCAGCCATCTATCCAAGGCTTAGGCTTACGTGAAGTATGGCAAGGTCTCGTAATGAGCAGCTAGGTCTCGGTCGTCGGCCCAAAGTTGAATGTTTTTGGCAATTGATGAACTGAAATTTGATAACGTTGTCAAATGACTCTTGCACTTTTGTGCTTTTCCAATCGGGCAGTGGTCTCTTCATATGCCTGAGTTGGCGCATCGATTTTGCAGCCATTTCCAATGCGGGTCTCAACGAGAGCACCAAAGTTGAAGTTCCACAAATGGTTTGAAAGTCAGTTACTGATAAAAATTAAAGAGCTAACCCAGTCCTTGTAACACGTCGCTCCATTATTGACCATAGCCGTAGCAGACTTATAAAAGTGGCTTGCACCTGCGATAGACTCAGAGTTCTTACTTAGTCAACCTCAGTGACACACCTTAGCTTTCAAAAAAGGTCGCTTTGGATTGTGCTAGCATGGACGGTTTTAGTATAATAGACCATAGCATTACCAAGTAAGACTTGTCTATATTAGCTCCGGTTCTTCAATTGTGGCTTATAGTGATTGGGTCAATAGGAGTTGGTCGAGAAATGATAGCGTTAGTGGACACTATGGCGATACCAAGCCCTGACCGAAAAGTCACTTTATTTGTATTAAGCTGAGAATATATGTAATCCTCAAATCACAGAATTGCTAGCCATATTCCCTTGCAACGACTCTTTACGGTCCTCATCTTTGTGCTATTCACGCCTCTGCTTCAAAATGTGGCCTTCTAGGCTAGACAACTATCCGCTATTTGGATAATATCTCTTAACGAATTTCATAATCTTCGTACTGCCTTTCACAAACTTCTTCGGGGAACCCCATTTACCTACTCCTTTCATCCTACCAGCTCCACTAGCACCATTTCCATTTTCAGCAAAGTAAAGCCTCCATTGGACTCTCTCTATAAACACAGTTTACCCGGAGACCCGGGAAAAAGTCCGGTTGACACCCGCTCGTAGCTCCGCAGGCCCCACAAGTATTTCCTAAATCCGGAGTTTGACAGGAAAAGCAGGTACTACACATATGTGTGTTGAGAGTGTAAAAGTGTTGATGTCATGGAACACAATACTGTCAGCCTTTGAAGAGCTCTACGGGGTACAATATCAAACAATGCGGTCACACTTTTAGTAGTCACTCTAGACGTTCCATCACATTTTAGCCGCTGATCGAATAAGGGTTCCTCCGATTCATTTGTTCTTCGTGCATAGATCTTATTGCCTAACTAGGATAATCAACTACTGGCATACCTTCGCGAGGTGCTTACCGAAAAACACAATAAGCACTCAGAAAGCAATGGACCATACAATAGTAATTCTATTGTAGCCATTCGATTATTAACAAAGGAATGGAGAAAGTCCGAATGGGAAACACGGCACTTGAGTTTATGGAATTGCAACATCCTCCTCTACTGAATGGCTGCAAAATATGTACCTATTATGCTCCCCACTGTACCCCATCAGCCGTTTCATCGATCAGAGGTCTCGGAGATTCCGTTTTTGGCGAATTTGCATCACTTTACTACCCGCTTCAAGACTATATAAACTCGTTAATAGACATCCTTTGTAGGCCAGTACAATGTTTGTCCTTCAGCTACTTCTCTCCTTAACAGTGGCTTTTGCCCAGGTGATAAAGCCAACGCTTCCCTCAAAAGATAGTTTTTACGAAGCCCCATCAAACGTCTCTGACTATGAAGTTGGTGATATCATCAACTACAGACAAGCACCCTACAAGCTTCGCTCCTTGTACACCGAGATGGATGTCAAGGAAGCATGGCAGCTATTGGTTCGTTCTGAAGATGCTCGTGGTGACCCAATTGCCATGGTGACTACCGTTTTGGTGCCATATGACCCAGACCCATCAAGAGTCGTTTCTTACCAATATGCTCAGGACTCTGCAACTATGGACTGTGCTCCATCATACGCTATTGCAAGAGGAGCCACAATGGGGACAGTGATTCAACAACTGGAGACCCTTCTTGTTCTGGGTATTCTAGCCAAAGGGTGGTATGCGCTTCTTCCAGATTACGAAGGTCCAGATGGGGCATTTACATCTGGGTATCAAGCAGGTCGAGCTGGACTTGACTCTTTAAAGGCTGCCTTGAATTCGAAAGAGATAACTGGTCTTTCTTCAGATGCAAAAGCGGCACTTTGGGGCTTTTCTGGTGGTTCTTATGCTTCAACATGGATGGCCTCGCTTCAACCTGATTATGCTCCAGAGCTTTCTGACAATCTAGTTGGTGCTGCTTTGGGAGGATGGGTGACCAACTGGACGGATGTTCTTTATGCTTCAGAGGGCAGATGGTTTGCTGGGCTTATTCCAAATATCCTCAATGGCATGATCAAGGCTGATCCTGATCTCAAGGAAATATTTGATGCTGAGGTGAAGGAGGAGTATCAAAAACGGTTGTACGGCGGTGTCGACGACTGTGTTTTCACCGCTGGCGTAAAAAACCTCTTCAAAAGTTTCTTCGGGGGAAAGAACTCCTGGTTCAAAAATGGCTACGACTTCTTCGACATCCCAGAAATCCAGGCCTATGTTGAGAAGAACGACATTGGTGTTCTTGAAGAAACCCCTCGCCCGGATATTCCACTCTTCGTGTATCACGGTGTTCCAGATGAAATTGTGCCTCACGCCGCCAGCTACAATGCTTTCCAGCAGTTCTGTGAATGGGGTATCAAGAGTTTCGAGTATGCTGAATCAAAGACTACTGGCCATATACTCGAAGCAATTGAGGGTGCTGGTGCCGCCTTGGCATGGATTGAAAACAGATTCAATGGAGAAGCTCCAGTGGATGGATGTAATCACACTGTTCGTACAACCAACGTGCTTTATCCTGGTGCCGATGTCCAGTTCCATCAGCTTTTGAGAACCATTCCTGTTGCACTTACAGGTCAGGAGATTGGAGAATCCACTAGGAATATCACTGATTCGACGTTGTTTACAAGAATTGTTCAGAAAACGGTTGGTGGCCTTCTTGGATTTGTGGGGCCTATTCCCTGGAAGAGGGATTTGACGGGAGTTCCTGACGAAATGGCTGAAATGTTGCAGAGCTGAGAGTATTTAGATTATTTGAGCTGTAAGATATGGTAATTAAAATGCAATGGATACCAGAAAGTGAATGTTGGTGAGAGGTCGTACCATAAGGAGTAGGTTTGTGAGAATTCTCGGAACAATGGTGCAATAACTACAATTTCGCAACCATCATGAAGATCTACCCAGATACCATCTTTCTGTATTTTGGAATTCTTTACATTAAGCCAGAACAACTTGAAAATAAAACAGCGTAAAAGCTATAAATCTGTAATCCCGAAGCATTTTCAACTATGCCTGTAACTCTCGATTGTAGGTATTCCTCAATCGCAGCCATGTTTCGCAGCCATTCTTCACAACATAATTACCAGCTAATGAAAAGCGCCAAATAACCAAAAATCTCGAGAACAAAGCCAATCCATTTTATTACCATTTGCAACCTGTCTTTATTTTATATTTCATTCCTTACTCATTTTTTGTTCCACTATACCCACTCGCCTGCCTCCTACATGTCTGTTTACGCGACTGCAACGCGCTTTTCGTGTCTCACCACAACACTCCATCTCAATTGCACTAGAGCTTCTTCATAGACATGGCTGAGATCGACTTCAGCGTGCTTGAAAAAGTCAAGAAGAGGCTTCAGGGGCCTTTGGATGTCGAGGATTCCCCTACCCAAATCATTGACGATGCTACCCAAGTGATTCTGAAGCCAGATACTCAGAACTTGGATGATACACAGAGGGTGGAAGAAACACAGCAACCAAATGATACGGAGATTGATTTTGGCCAGTCCATGCTTTTTGCACAGCCTACACAGAAAATCCAGGTTCCGCTGAAGGTGCAGCAAACCCAGGCCATCAAGCTTCCTCAACTAGGTCTAGAGGATGTGGAAGTGTTGAAACCCGATGCTTCTACCCAGGTGATTCCTCCACGTCAGCAAGCAGAGGAATTAGAAGCTGACCTTACCAAGACATCGCTTACGGATGAGGAGAACGAAATAGCTGCAGATAACGCCGAGACAACCATGGACTCGTCTATACAGAAGACCGTCACGACAAAGACCGAGTTGGAGGAGATCCAAAAGCAGCTCAGCGAGGAGAAAAGAGCCAGGTCGATTAAGCCAGCTTTTGAAAAGCGCCAAATTGATCCAGTCAACCGTTTGGTTGCTGCATTCGAGTCCGACTCCGAGGATGAACCTGCCAAGGTCTTAAGCGACCACGCCCTTCCTAAACTGAGCCCTACAACTTCACCCGTGAAAAACACCAAAGCCGGCATGGTGGAGCTTTCCGATTCTGACGACAATTCCGACTTTGAGACCACCAACGTGCTTGACTTCATTTCGAAAGCACGCTCACCCCGTCTGCCTGTGATGAACATCCAAAAGAACCCAATGGAAACCTACGCCATGAACCTCAAGCGCCAGATCCTTTCATCCCCCACGCGGCAAAGTGAAGAGAACCCTTCCATCAAGCTCGATGATTCTGATGACGAGGAGAAGGGAATTCCCGATCTAACGAAAGACCAACGGCTCATGATAAAGCAAAAGTTTGCCAAGAGAAAGCTCGAGAACACTAAGAAGGCAATCTTTTCAAGATTTCAGCATTTGCATTCTTCGAAAAACCCCAACAAACTCTTCCAAGAACTTAAAAAGGCCAATGCTAAGCAACTCCATGAACTCAAGCGCGAGAATGGTGACGCTGAGCTTATTGAGGAGATTGAAAAAGAGGAAGAGGAGATGGGAACCTTGTTGGAGCGTGAAATCGAACGTGTTCGTCGTATCAGAAAGAAGGAGAAACTCAAAGAGAAGGCTGCGCAAGCACTTCTAACTGGTAAGATGGGTGGAAGTGATGATGACGAAGATGGTGACTATCACGATGGTCTGGATGATGCGGAGGCCGTACCAGACAGTGACGGCGACCCTGAAGAATCAGACTACGGGCTGGAAGATAATGAGGAAGACGGTGATGAGACCGGACTTGTCAAAAGAAGACGCAGGGTTGTACTTTCTGATGACGAAAATGACAGCGCAGATGTCACTCTGTCTCCCGTTAAGAAAGCTCCTGTTGAGCGTGAAAGAAGACACGATGACAGCTACATGTTCGGAGGCCCTGCCAGTGGCTCCAACCCCGAGTCAGAGGATGAGGAAGAGGTAATGCATGTTCAGAGTGATAATACGCCACATTCTCAGCCAACTGAGCAATTTCACGACTTCACTAAAGAAGATCAGGAAACTTCTGGTTCCCACAAACTCTTTCAGAACCTCGGTCCTCGTGATTCCAACTCCCAGGCAACCAATGTTTCTTTTGCAGACGACTCCTTGGACAAAAGTATTGAAGTTCCTTCATTCCAAGACATTCCTCCAACGCAAACTTCAGTGGACTCCCAAAGCATTTTAGCTACTCAAGCTGACGTCATCCCATCTCAATTAGCAGCATCTACTCAAAATGATGAAGCATATTCGGATGACGAAGATGATTACCCTGCAGCTGTTTCCAAAGGAAGGAAACTAGTCAAGAGCCATCTTCAGCCTGTGGTTGAGAATGAAGAAGAGGAAGAGGAAGAAGAAAAGGTAGATGAAGAAGAGCTCAAAGAACGCCTTGCGTTCTACGAAGCGAAGATTCGCCGTAAGGAACTCAAGGCACGTCGCAAGCGGAAAGAGTTGGAAAGAAAAGGTATGAAAGGCATGGTCGAAGGTGAGGCCGAGGAGTCCGAAGATGAATGGAAGGGGATTGGTGGTTTAGATAATGATGAGAGTGACCAAGCCAATTCCGAAGATGAACGAATGATCGATAACACGCTCAACCTTGACTTGAACGACGAAGAAATCAGGAAGAAGTTCATGGAGGAGTACCAGATCAAGGACAAGAAAGACTTGGAGAAGTTGATGGATGATATTAAGAACCATAGGCTTACTAAGCGGGCTCGTGGCAATGGTTTCGATATCGAATTGAGTGACGAGGAAGACGAATTGTTGATGGCTTACAGACGTCAAAAGCTCGAGGAACAGAAACAGCGACTCATGGAAAGCCAGAAGCTCCAGAAGTTGGCAAAGAATGATCGTGCTAAGGCCTTCTTTGCGTCGATTCAAGATGAGGTTTTGTCTGTGGCTCTTGACGAGGATTCAGACGAGGATGAGCAGGAATCTCAATCCACTCAAGAGGATCCTAAGAAGGGCGATAGCCAGGCTACCGAGGAAGACGAGCAAGAATCACAACCTAAGAAGAGAATTCTACATCTCGAAGAGTCATTCGTGCAAAAGAAATTATCTTTCCTTTCTAGAAACGATGAAGATGACTATGTTACTATCCAAAATTTGTCTAGACGCCAGCATGGTATCAACTCAGACGATGAAGTCGAGGATATCCGCACACTCAAGAACAGAAGTATGATGAACTTGTTCAAGTCTGCTACTCCTGAAGTTGTTGAAGATGAAGACAACAGCAAGAAGAGACTGATTGATGAAGTGGCAACAGACGACGATGATGACAACGCCAACGAGAGTGACGATGGATTATCTCAAGTGTTCAAGAAGCCTTCAGTCGTGAGTCTGTTCAGGTCCTTCAGGGGTAAGGGTGACATTCAAGTCTCGAGTAATTACTTCTCGGGAGTGACTGTTAACAAGCAATACAAGGTGGCTACCGGTTCGGAAGCATCCATCTCATACATGTCACGGGCAAGCAAGAAGAAGGAGAACAAAAAGCTCGATTTCAAGAGCACAAAGGCCTTGAAGATTGAGCAAGGCTTGAGGGAAGTTAAACAGAAGAACTTCTCAAGCAAAATCTTTAACTCGAACACCAGTTTTGAGTAAACCTCACGAAGTGAATAGCATCAATGAAATTAAAATAATAGACTCTCGCTGAGAACCTGTCTAAACAGCTGTTGATTAGATGGGCCGTTCATAGGTCTTTTGGAGAGACCTCTTCCTTGTACTATGTTGGCTTTGTTGTTGCCGATAGTCAATGAAGAATGACTGCCACTTCTAAAACTGTTCTCACCAGGAGGTAGTCTTCTTGATTTGATGTCATTCGGTATCGAGATTGGATCCCTTAACCCTTTGCGTAGTTTCTTAATGCCTTCAGGTGGAGATTCATGAACAACAGTTGGAGCAGCTGGGGCTTGCGTTTTGGAAGGCGATGGATTATTGTGAATCAAATGAAGGAAGCTGGATGTCAAAGACTTTCCAAACTGATCGATGCTTCCTCTTCTAGCAGTATTCTGAACTGGAGCTTGATGACTGAAACCTCTAGGCGAACCCAACGGCGAATTCAATAAGTTGAAAATATTGATGTTGCTGCGCTTGGGAGTAACAGGCTGCTGTTTCTTGATAGGGGACTCATCGGGTTTGAGTTGATGCAAAATGTTCTTGGAGTGGTCTTTGAAGGATTTGGAAGGACCCTGCTGTGGTTTGTCTTCAACAGTGCTGGTGAAAATCGTTTCCACTGTTGGCTGACTGACATTGCCCTTGTTGATTATCGTAGCGGCTGGGTTGTGAAACTTGAAGGACGGTTTGAATGTCTTTTCCTTTTCTGAGAAAATCAGATCATGGGAACTGGATTTCTTGAGTGGAGCCGGGAAGGCCTTGCTGAGATCAACTCTAGAAGGCCGCAAAAAGTCGTCGAAATTGTCTAAGTCAAATTTAGGAGAAACTGGCAGTCCAGAAAGACCTGAGCAGTGGGACAAACTATCGATATCTAGATCCAATTTGCTCATATCCACGGGATTCAATCTTTTGAAGGTTGGACTTTCCGATGCCGAACCTCCGTAGAAGTCGTAGTCGTGGGTTTCGGAGGATGAAGAAATGCCGGTAGTATCGTGCTGCATGTCCATGATGGAATCCTGATGATCGTATGTTCCAGCCGACAGCTTGGAGATATTTCTGATGGCCTCCTCGTTTTCCAGAAGCGGATTCAACGTGTATGCGGCTGAAAGTCTGTAACGAGACTTCTTCTTTTCCACCTTCTGATTACGACACCTGAGGGGCCTCAAGTTGAGGTTCGATATGGAAAGCATGTTCTTGAGCTCCTTGTTGGGAACATGGGTCTGTTGCACCGGTTCTTCGTGGCTCAAAAACCGCTGATTATGATGTCTAAAAGTGTCAAGCATATAGTTGTACTCCTTGTTAAGATTAAGGAAGCTAGTCTCGTTGGTGAAGCTCTCGTTTAAATGCAAGTTGGAGTCCAAAAAGTAGGACCGTTCGTGGAGCTTTTCAAACTCATTGATGCAAACGTTGTTTTTGTTCAAAAGCTCGGTCATGGCATCGATCTCCGAGTCGGCAGCCGTTATCTGAGAGTTTAACAGAATGATTCTCAGTATGAGAGTATTTGATTCATCCATACTCAGAGCTATAGACTCCGAGCGGTTCAGAATGGCATCGGCCATGCGAAGAAGGTCGTCAATGCGGGACATGCCTTGGTAATTGGGTTCTAACAAAGAAAGCCAGAAGTTGTAGGATCAAACGATTGTGTGGGTATATGCTGGTGCAAACGGTCTATGAGTGTATCGTGACGAAAGGACCCGAAATCTTTGACTTAAACACCCAGAAAAAGCAAAATATGCCCAGTGAAAGGAGTGACTTGGTGAATATGCCAGAGATAGGACTTGCCAGGGATCAAATCAAATATTTACCGTTAGCGATGTTTGTTTACGTTAGCCTGCATGGCCCGCAGAGTCGTATTGTAAGCGGGAAGAAATGGCACAAATCTAGCGAGGTGCGAGACCAAAAGGGTGCACCTTCATGCACGTACCCCAAGCAGAGCGTTTCTGTGCCATTTGGGGGACAACTTAAAGGGACAAAAACATGGAGCTTTAAATTTACATCCATAATTATTAAAAAAGAGTTATTCAATAAATGGGCGACACCCCCTTTGGCGGTTCGGGGCTCTGGTATGGGAATTGGCGTGGTATGTGGCTTACTACAATGGCTGCGAAAACTCTTATCAAGACTGGGGAGCAGATCCACATCTGTGGATCCCAAAACTTGCGCTTCGGTTTTCCATTGATTCGCCTTTACGTTGATTTAGTTTTACGGATTCGGTTTTATCGTTTATTATGGCGTGTTATGCAGTTACTCATCGCTTTCCTTCTTCAGCTTCTTCTCCTTCTTCTCCTTCTTGTCTTTCTTCTCCTTCTTTTCCTTCTTTTCCTTCTTTTCCTTCTTTTCTTTCTTCTCCTTCTTCTCCTTCTTCTTTTCCCTCTTCTCGTCGTCGTCGTCATCGCGCTTGCGCTTCTCGCCTACCAACTTGTTCTCATACAGAGTCTCCTCAGGAGCTTCAAATGCCTGGTCTCTTTCAACCCTACGCTGCTCAGCAACCTCCTCCTGCTTGGCACGCTTCGACTGAAGATCACGAACGTACTTCTCTCTCTTGCCCAAGAAATACTCACCACTCTCGATCTGCAAATCGACCTTTCTAGGCTGCTGTGCTGGTGGGAATGGTGTGTACACCTTCTTCTTCTTGTCCTTGTTCTCGGCCTTCTTTCTGGCAACGTTACGCTTCTTGAACATGGGCAAGAAACGGGACCAGTCCTCGTTGGCCAACTCGGGGTTCTTGGCGAGCTCCTGCTTGATCATGAGCTCCTTGATGTGGTAGATGGGGTGGACGTTTTTCATGCAATCTTCAACAACCCTACGAACATCCTTCAAGCCCTTGTAAGGACCCATGGCGCTGACGGTGTTACCCTGAACCAAGATGTAACATTTCGTCAAAAGCTCCAAGGCTTTAAGGGTGTTACCATTAGGACCCACCAAACGCTGTCTTCTCTTGACAAATCTCTCCTTGTTCAGCACGAAGTTGCCGATCTTGATGACATCACAGGCGATGTCGTCCTGCAAAATCTTCACCGCCTGGGGGTATGGAACGGAACGGGCCAAAAGTTTTATAAGGTCTCTGGCCTTCAAAATGATGGCAGGGTCATATGTCTTTCTGGTGGTGCTGACAGTCATGGAACCTTCAACAAGATCAAGCTGGCAGGCAATTTGATGTTTTTCCAAAGCCTGGGTCAAATCGGGCCAGATGGACCGGAGGTAGTTTTCTCTGTATTTTGGGAAGAGGGTCATGAAAGACGATTCCTCGGCAAACGGCAAACCCAGTGCATTGTCGGCCTCAGTGAACTCGTCAATCTTCCACTTATCTATGTCTGGCGTGTCCCAGGGCTTGTCTTTGTTGTGTGTAGAAGGCATTCTAGGTGTTGTAGGATTTGGAGATATGGATTTTTGGAAGTCCTGATGCCCATCGCGGCACGTGATACAACTACAAATCTTGATTCAACACGAACCAACGACCCCCACCTACTTCTTTCTGGTTTTTTAAAAATGGGAACAAAATCATCTAAATCGAAACCCAGAAATGCAAAGGTCGCCAAAACATCTTCGAAATCGAGGGTCAACCAGAAAGCAAAGATTTCAAAGGCTCAGATCGACAAGCTCAATAAGGATGTTGACCACATCGAGGATATCCACAAGGCGCTAGCACTGCAAGGGCAGGTCCCGAAGAAAATCAGTGCTTTGAGTGTGGGAAAGTTGAAGGAAGATATGAAAAAGGACGAGGAGCGGAAGAAGGCCAACGAGGAGTTGAAGAAGCAGTTGGAGCTAATGACCGGGATGGCTTTGTGAGCTTCTTGTTCTGAAGGGTAGCGTATAATTTGATTTCATGATTTGAATTTTACGGCAAAGCTCACTAAAGGTGGGCTGGTCGTTCTGTGTTTGGCGTTTTGGAGAGCAGGTTACATCGTATTGAAGATACACTCCCCGGTGAAATAATACTCACTGACGGGTCGCTCCAGATGACTGAATATCCTTCCCTCAAATATTACTCCATGTTTTTTCGGAGAATATGAGCTCAAAAAGAAGATTCGGAATGCCGAAAACAGATATGGGATCTCTCGAGCCCAAGAGCTATCTTCATTGGCCATATTTAAAAGCGATCCTCAAGAGCCATTGTCAAGAGCCATAGTTAGAAGCGATTTCCCATTACAAGTCATATCGGAGTCAGTCAAGGAGTGCCTTCAATCGTCGCTTTACATTCATGCTTGGATACCAGAACCTCTTGATTGCAAAACTGTATCGCACCCATGCGTATAAAATGGAAGAGATTCGTTTTGACGATACACCTGCTATACAAAATGCCAATTCCTCAACCCCATGGAGGCTCTTTGCAAGATTTAGTGGTTCAACGCCCCATTGAATACGAAACTCCAATCCAGTGGACACAAAACAACATATTCATACAATTTATAGAATAATTGATCACCCTTCAATATTTCCTCGCCACCCGCCTCCACACCTTTGTAATCAATTTGCACCCACTGCGCCCTACATATAGAGACTACACCTCGATGGGTGAGATGAGCTTACAAATCTCAAAGCACTACTCGTCTTTCTACCACTTTTATTTATAAACAAAACATGAGTCACGAGGAGGTTCCCCAGGAGGGTCACGAGAACCAAGAGGAGTACGTTGATCTCAACGATATCGCCGAGGAGGTTGCCGATGACCTTGGACCAGCTCCAGAGGACGATAACGACGATAATGATATGGACATGGACGGTCAGGAGGACCAGGAGGAGTCGATAGAAATTGATCTTGCCAACAACTCGTGGACGTATTTCGACCAGCACAAGGACTCCATTTTCACCGTTTTTTCACACCCTTCCTTGCCTATGGTGGTCACAGGAGGAGGCGACAACACAGCATACTTGTGGACAACACACACACAACCACCCCGTTTTGTTGGCGAGCTTCTGGGCCACAAGGAGAGTGTGGTTTGCGGTGGCTTCACAGGCGACGGAAAGTTCGTGATCACTGGTGACATGAATGGGCTTATTCAGGTGCACAAGGCTGCCAAGGGTGGCCAGAAATGGGTCAAGTTTGGCGATTTGGAGGAGGTCGAGGAGGTTTTGTGGATTACCGTCCACCCCACTTTGCCCTACTTTGCCTTTGGCTCCACAGACGGCTCTGTGTGGGTGTACCAGATTGACGAGGACTCCAAGTCGCTTGTTCAGATCATGTCTGGCTTCTCGCACACTCTAGAATGTAATGCTGGTGTTTTCGTGGGCACAGACAAGACGGACGAGTTGTTCTTGGTCACTGCGTCGGAGGACGGTTCCATCGTCATGTGGAACGCTTTCACTGGTGCCGTTCAGTACAAGTTGCTGCCACACGATGAGTTCAAGGGTGTGGAGAGCCCCTGGGTTTCCTTGAAAGCTCAAGGCTCCGTCGTTGCTGCTGGTGCTCGTGACGGTCAATTGGCCATCATCAACCTCGACAGTGGTAAAATCGTTCAGCACGTCAAGACAATCGAAAACGTGGAGGATGTCGCTGACTTGTCTATCGAGGCTCTTGCATGGTGCAGAAACTCTGCCGTGCCTCTTCTAGCCGTGGGTCTCGTCTCTGGAGATGTGCTCCTTTTCGACTCTAACTCGTGGAGATTGAGAAAGACGCTCAAGGTCGACGATACCATCACAAAGCTTCAGTTCCTTGCAGACCTCCCCGTGCTTGTGGGATCCAGCATGAACGGTAAATTGTACAAATGGGATGCCCGTACTGGTGAGGAGTTGTTCGTTGGTGTGGGCCACAACATGGGTGTTTTAGACTTTGCCATTACTGATGGCGGTAAGGCCTTGGTTACTGCTGGTGACGAGGGTGTTTCTTTGATTTTCCGTCCCGAGGCGTAATATAGCATAACGTAATGAAGAGAGGTGATAAAGTTGTAGGATATCGGAGGAAAGAAAAGTCATGGTGCACTTGATGAAGCTATGTCAATGCTGATATGGCTGCGAAATATCCTGTTACTACCATAGGAAGAAGTTGATTCATTTGTATTCGGCGAAATGTTGCAATTAGCTATTTCATCAGCTCCATATTAATATTTCTCCGTTTGAAAAAGAACTCAAAATTTCAATATCTGAAAACTCTCTAGTTGTATCATACTAGCGTGAATCCCTGTACGGTGGAAAAGAGATACGCACTTTTAGTACAGGTGAGTCTCGCATCAACATCAACAAAAATCTCCACACTCACATCTCCTTCAGCATTCCACTCACAGAGCGTATCAAGAGTTTTTTAAAATAAAAGGACAGTTTCATTTCTTTAATTTCCAAACATTTCATTTCGGACGCGAATAAATACGACCACCTACCTTCACATCATCATCTGGTAACGCGTCGCGTCATGACTGAAGAACCCAAGTTGGCGTCGTTCACGCCAGACGAGCTTCAAAAGCTGTCGAAACCTTCGTCGGCTGATATGCTGTTCTACTATGAGCGTATCCTTCCTTTTCGTCATATTTTCCAGTGGTTGAACCACCTGCCAAAGCCATCCAAGGATTTCACCATGCGTGAGTTCGCTTACGAGTACCGTTCTGGTGCCTACCAAAGATACAACTCCTTCAACTCTCCAGAAGAGTTCAAGAAGCTGGTTGTGACGGCCAACCCTACAAGATTCGAGGTCGGTGCTGTCTACGCTGTGAACCCAAAGGAAAGAAAGAACTTGCTCAAGAGCGCCATGAAACCACTCTCGAAGGAACTTGTTTTTGATATCGATTTAACTGATTACGATGAGATCCGTACCTGCTGCTCTGGAACAGCCATTTGCACAAAGTGCTGGAAGTTCATCAAGGTGGCTTCCCAGGTACTCACACACTCCTTGAAGGAAGATTTCGGGTTCGATCACTTTGTGTGGGTCTTTTCCGGTAGAAGAGGTGCCCATTGCTGGGTCAGTGACGCAAAAGCGCGTACATTGGATGAGTCTGCAAGAAAGTCGATCGTTGAATACTTGGATGTCTTGGGAGGAAGGTCCTCGAAAATGGGCAAGACATCGTTGTCGTTGAAAAAGCCATTCCATCCACACGTTGAGCGTTCGTTCGACATTCTCAAGACATTCTTCCAAGAGATTGTTTTGGAGGATCAAAACCCATGGGAAACGTCAGCTTCTTCGGATGAAAAAGCATGGGGCAAGGTTGATGAACTCTTGAGCTTTATCCCTGACCAGGCACTCCGAGCCGCTCTCAAGTCAAAATGGAAGGAGTCATCGAGCTACTCCAGCTCAAAGGCCAAATGGGACGACATTAATACTGTCGCTCAGAAGATTCTCAAGCACCAGTCACAAGTTTCTCAGTTGAACGATGCAAAGAAGGAAATCATTATTTATTTCATGTATCCAAGATTGGATATTGAGGTGTCGAAGCAATTGATCCATTTGTTGAAGTCGCCATTCTGTATCCACCCAGGAACTGGTAACATTTGTGTTCCCTTCGACCCTACGAAAAACTTGAGCGCAAACTCGGAAGATGACCATTACGGATTCAACCCAATGACCGCACCAAACTTGTCCCAACTTCAAGATGAAATAGACACATGGGAGGCTAAGAGGGTGAATAGAGACTCAAGCCAACCATTGCTGGATTCCGAAGACCAGAACGCTGCATCAACAAGAGTTCCAGATTACGAGAAGACAAGCTTGAAACCATACGTTCAATACTTCTCCAGTTTCGTCAATGGTCTTCTTAAGGAGGAGTTGAAGAGCTCGAAGAGAGAAAGAGAGGAGGACCCTCTAGAGTTTTAGTGAACTTTCCTGTCATCATTTTATTAGCCTGAATTATTTGTATAATATTTAAAGTATTTCTAAACGATTGAGCATACATCCCCAAAGAGGTTTTCATCCTTCTGGGAGATGTCCTCGTATTTACCGCTGTGGTTTTTAATTATAATTGTTTCATCATCCGTAGGGACACGAGCCATAGATGATGCGGAGCTGCCATTGGCAGTGTCATCAGTGTCGAAATGGTACCATTCCAAGTACTCAAGTTTTTCATTGTACTTGACATGACCAGACGTCAAATAAATATCATTGTAGTTCAAAAACGGGAAATGCCACTTTGGAACAAAGATAACTGTAGGGCATTTTTCAAGTGTCTCCTCGTCCAACTCCTCCTTGATAGTCACGGTAAGGGCGAACTTTGCTGCCTTGATGTCAAACTCGGTGTCCTTGACAACACCCACAGAAGACATGAGGAATGGACGAAGGACAGCGCTAGGAGCACGAAGCCCATCTGGGGAAGGGTAGCAGTTCTTCATGTGCTTGTAGCGAAGGTTGTCACTGGAGACTGAAATGAGTGTAGAGTTATCGAAGCTTGGTTCATAGTCATCATCGAGCGTGTCTTCGTCCCCACAGAACTGTTTTTTGAACATATTTGGCATCAACCGCTTCTTATGGTAGTTCAATCTAGTTTTGATGATGGACAGAGAGCCAGCGGTCTCCTTAAGCGCCCTGATAGCTCTAAGTGAGGGAGTCACACTGCTTCTTCTCGATGGTGAAGAGGTATCAACATCCTCGTCGTCGTCGAATGCAAGATCTCTGTCTTCAGGAGACCAGAACGAGAAGTCCTCGTTGTTCCAGCGATCACCCCACTTGTGACAGTTGATACTCGTGTAACACCAATAAGTGTGATGCATCCTCAGACCTTCTAAAGCATTCGCCAAGGCATCGATAGCAGCTGTTTGAGAAGTGTACCGGCCATCTTCATAAGCTCTTTTGCCATCCATGTCAAATGGCATACCTGTCTCAGACATAAGGACAGGCACGTTGCCCAAGAGGTCTCTTGCCTCACTGACAATTTCACAGAACTGCTTCTTGATACAGTTTCTAATTGCTCGTTCGCCAACCACAAGACCCAACACAGGGTTCAAGTAGCGACCACGCATGATTCCCAAAGTGTCGACGTTATACTTATCGTTCCACGTCTTCATTAAAAGGGATAAGCCATCATAATAGTGAGGGCAATAAATAGTACGATCGTCAATGAGCCCACGCTCGTCATCTTTGAGTGCTGGGGGTGGCTCTAACACTGGTGGTTCGATGAGCATGAACACACCAGGAGTGATGGAGCGAATCGTTTTCTTGAGTCTTCTGTAGTACTCCACAAAGAAGTGATTAATGAAGAAGTGCAAGTCAATCTGGTTTGGAAGTTTGTCGTCGATAACGTTAAAAGAGATACGTGGTGAAACCTGGTTGAAGTAGTTAGGCACCACTAACTGACACTCTTGATAACTGAACTCAAGTCTACGTTCCAAGGACATGAGGTTCACCTTGTCCCAGTCTGCAAACTTGTTCCACTTCCAAATCTTCAAACCGGCAAAGATACATTCACCTTTCCAACCTGAACGTCTCCAATTGTAGTGTGCATCAACCTTCTTGAGGTCATCAGACAGAAGCCAGGCACGGACACCATGTGGATCCACCATACGTGACCCGTCTTTCTGAGGTCCGGAAACGGTAATCTTGTAGACATCAACCTCAACAGGAAGACCCATACCCAAACGGAAACACTGGTAGACCGTGGGCGTGGTGTCTAAACGTAGGTGCTGGTTGCCTGGAAGATGACCCATGTGGGCTTGACCGACAAGACCGCAATTTGGCTCATTAATGGACTCAAAGCCTAAAAGCGTATTGTCCTCGAGCATTTCAGGAACAGCATCTGTGACCTTACGCCAGAGGTAGCCCATGGCTTTGAGGTGGCTTTTCTGAAGGAACGTCTGGATGTTAACTCCGTTGATTCTCAAGTGAGGGAAGTATGTGCTACCAGCGAAGAAAAGCGTGAACATGGTGAACGACGCCAATCTTTTGTAATTAGTTGTCCAGAGCATCTTAGGGTAGCACTCTTGGTCGTGAGCTCTTTCAAATCTTTCATCATTTTGCAAGATGGCCGCTTCTGTGGCACTGAAATTCTTAGGCTCGAGGCCAGCAGCATAGAATGTCCAAAGAGGAGCACCGGAACCACCAGAGTAACGTGACCAGACGTCCTGGTGGCATTCCATGAATACGTATAATCCTCCAACCTTGTGTATGATTTTAAGAATTTCAATGGTGTAGTTGACAAAGTCGTCATCGTACTTGCCCGGGCCAGCATGTTCTATAGCTTCCCATGTAAGCAAGTACCGAATAACGTTGAAGCCCCAACTCTTGATACGGTTCAAGTGGAGCTCAGCTTCTTCTAAAGGAAACGGCCTTCCCACAAAAGAAACGTTGTCACCATCAAAGAACACACTGTCAGGGTCCAGCGAGTTGCCCTCATACGAAGGCATGCTGGGTTTCGTGGGGAATTTCATTGCAGAGTCCACGTTAATACCCTTGAGCACTCTTTTGCGGCCCAGAGCATCAACTAGGTGGCCATCCTCAACGTGTAAAGGTTCACAAGGCAAGATAGTGTTGGTGTCGTTTTCAGTAGGAGTGATTGGTTCGTTTGGGTCGAAACGCTTTCGAAGCGGACGGACCCCTGAGCCTGCAAAACCCGGGCCTGCCGAGTACAAACTCAAACGGTCAGAAATGACGGTTCTGGCAGTTTTCATGGTAACAAGGAAGATCTCCTTTGGGGTATTTTTTTAGAAGCTGGTATCTAGGTTACGAGCCTGGCGGCTGACCGGAAAAGCACACCCGTGCACCACAGCTTGAAATCCCCCAACATTTGCCAAAAGAGATGATCGAGAAAACGCAGGGGCAGTGACGACGATTTTTCCCGGAGGCAAATTTCTGTCACACGAGCCTCCACCTCATCATCTTGTCCCCTCATTACTCCACATGGTTGCTGTTCAACGGCAATTTTCGCAACCAATTCGCACCTGCGAAAAGACCAAACCCATGCGAAATACTCACTGGTTGAGCTGCTCCAAAGCGCGCTTTTTAGCTTCAATCTGAGAGGTGAGTCTCCAGGCATCCTGGTTTTCTGCAAAACGGTTGTATAGAGGTACGATTTTTTCGTTTTTCCTCGAGGTGTGGTCTCCCTTTTTGAAGAAACGGGGCGCCAACTCGAGAAGCCACCGAGGGTCTATGGCACTAACGCAGTGCATGTACTCTTTGGTGGTGAGGAGCACAGTATGGTAGATGACGTACTCTGTAGATTTTCCAAAAAGCGCCAGCAGCGGGTGCATGCTGACGGGAGTTTGATCAACTATAGTGTTGTAGATGCCTTCGTGGGGGTCTCTCTTAGCGGAGTTCCTGAAAAAGCCAGAACAGAATGCCTTTCTTACGGCTATCGTATCTGACCCACAACTGTCAATGGGGATTCTGAATCTTTTCATGATTTGGCCAAGCTGCTTGCGGACGTCAAGGGCTCTTCTCATGCTTCGTTCGTGGATATAATTGTCTTTGCACCAGCCTGCTGAACGGCCATTAAGGTCCCAGGCTCTGTAGACGTTTAGAAGGGTAATGTGGTCGCCATAAACCGAATGGAACCGTTGTTTCTTTTGATCAGCTGCAGCTTGTTTATCCTTGGGTCTGTTGAACACAGATTGCACCGAAAGCATGGCCACAATGGTGAGAACCTCTTCCACACATCCTAACTCCGTGGACTCGATCAACGTTTTGGCAAGAGCAGGTTCCATAGGGAACTCGGACATTTTTCTGCCAAACGGCGTGAGGTAGCCTTCTTCATCAAGAGCATCGAGATTGTATAGATCGTGCAAGGCATTGACTAGAGTTTGGGCGGGTGGAGGATCCATAAACTCAAAGTTGAGGAGGTCGTTGATCCCCATCGCCTTTAGCATCAAGATGGTGAGCGAGAGATTCTGACGCTGAATTTCTGGAATCGAATTGGGAAGCATTTCCGTCTTATAAGCTTGTTCAGTGTAGAGACGGTAGCACTTACCAGGACCGGTACGTCCAGCACGACCAGATCTTTGGTTAGCTTGTGCCTGTGAAATCGGCGACACCACCAATGTGTCCATTCCCATTTTGGGATCATATGCGTTGACCTTCACGTAGCCTGGATCCACAACGTAGCGAATACCGTCGATGGTGATGGATGTCTCGGCGATGTTGGTTGCCAAAACGACTTTTCTAGCTCCTGGGGGAGCAGGTTCGAAAATTTTCAGCTGCATGTCTGAGGATAATGCAGAGTAAACCGGGAGGATGACGAGTTCAGGAACTGCCGATCCTAACGTCTTGATTCTGTTGTAGAGTACCTCACAGCTAGTGTCGATTTCTTCTTGACCGGTGAGGAAAACAAGAATATCTCCCTCAGCCTCAGCAACGTGAATTTGCATCACACAATCAAGCGCTGCTGCTAGGTAGTCTGGCTCTGGCTCACGAGAGAAGAGCGTCTCAACAGGGTACGTTCTTCCAGGAATCTTCAACACGGGACATTCATTGAAGAACGATGCAAACTTAGCCAGGTCAAGTGTTGCCGATGTAACAATGACCTTCAAATTGGGGTTCTGCCGAGCTGCCTTTTTCAACAATGCAAATAACACATCGGTCGCTATGGTACGTTCGTGAGCCTCGTCCAACATGATAACCAGGTACTTCAGCATGCTGGGATCAAGCAAAGCCTCTCTTTGAAGCATACCGTCTGTCATGTACTTGATCTTGGTTTTCGGAGAAGTGATGTCCTCAAAACGAATGTAGTAGCCCACCTCCTCGCCAACTTTGCAACCGACTTCCTCAGCCACACGCTTTGCAACAGATACAGCAGCAACTCTTCTTGGTTGTGTACAGCCGATGATTTTCTCAGTACCACCCACAACATTCAACGCTTCCTCGTAGATGTACTGGACAATCTGGGTGGTTTT